TCTACTCTAATATTATAAGAGCTAAGAGCTAAATAGGCAAATTCCTTAAATTACTTCACAGATTACCGGCGTGAAGAAGCAGCATAGTGCTGTTGTGTTTCCTATGGTAGTTGACGAGAATTACAGTGACCCCTTTTACTGGTTACGATACATTCTATATTAGTCCTCAGAGGTGACAACACATCAATATTTGATTCTTAATTGAAGAAAAATGGAAGTAACCCACAGACACCTAAACCTGTTCCATGGACACAACACTCACCTTCACGTGGATTGTATTGTACGCTCGTTTGTATTAATTGTTTTAAAAAATCGTTGATTTGCAATGAAAATTGATATTACTTAAACCGGAATCTTAAGAGATCACGATACAGACGAATTATGTTTTAACTGTGGCAAATATCAACTGTGGATATTTGCCACAGCTGCCACGCTTGTCAGGTGCGTTGGCAACCGCAGTTTTTTTAAATATTTTAAGAGTTAAATAAAGACGCTTGTGCACATTTTCTGAGTAGTTTCCCTCTGTCGCCCCTCACGACACTCACGAGACGATATGAGGTAGTGGATATTCAAACACCGCCACTACACGGTGGTATATGATAGTACGACCAATTACCCAGAACGTAGACGGGCAGCATTAGATGTTCAGTTCCGGTACGATTGTCAATACGACTGCTTAGCATGAGGAATAAGTTAACTCCTCCCTGCAACAGGAGAGACTTATAAAGAATGGGGAAGAAGTGCAGCAGCAGCAGCAGAACAATTCTATGAATTAATATTTTGTTCAATACATTAAATGTTCTACGTTCAAAGTGAATAAAATTGTGAAATTCATTTTAAAGTTCATGTGTTGTGAATTTTCGGAACGAGAATCAGAAGGGAACAACTAATTATGGAAGGAAGCCGATAATAAATTTAAATATTTGTGGAAAACCAATGTATGTAAATACATGCATATATTATACATATATATATATATATATATATATATATATATATATATATATATATATGTATACAGATATATAGATGGAGCTAAAGAAGTTTTACTTCAGTCGTGTTTCGCTTAGTGTATATTTTCTTTAGTCATGTAGTCATAAGCACACTCGTTTTTTTATTTGAGAATTAGTCCGCCGTGCTGCCTCTGTATGTATTGGCTTTACATGTCTTCAAAACACTTTGGTTCTTCAGATTAATAAATTTCAATTAACAATTTCATTGCCAGGAATCGAACGAGGGTTGATCGCGTACTATGAGACTATCGACGAGCACAATATTAAGTAGCATTTTTTTTCATTGGTGTATCACTTTATAAACAGTCCTTCACAAGTCCACTGCTGAACATAGGCCTTCACCAAGGTATGCCACAAATCACAGTCTTGAACCACCTACGTTCAACGACTTCCCGTATCTTACCAGGTTGTCACTCCATCTAGTTAGAGGCTACTAAATCTGATACAATAATCAAGGGCATTGATAAAAACCACTAAGATTTTTCGACAGTACCTAGTCCTGATCAAACAGTCGTATTTAATATATAGATCGAAGGTTTATATTTATAATAATTATGATCGTAAAATTTACAAATACGCCTTACTCCTGGGCATAGTATTTCGTTCATTTCTGTGAGGGTTTTAGGGCAAGGAATTGACCGGCGTACTGCCTCAATACGTGTTGGCGAACTTCACATGTCTTCAAAATATTTATATTTCTTATGTCTACAACATGAAGGTTTCCTCACGATGTTTTCCTTCACCGCCGAGCACAAATTCATTGGTGAATTTCAGTTTCAACTATTTCATTGGTGACGGCGGGGATTGAATCCGGTTTGCTCGCATACTGTGAAATTAACAACGAGCGCTAACCATCTGAGCTACCATGAATCGTAAACACTACTCACAATTAAAAAGAAATGTAGAGCCACGCTGCAGCAATATTATGGTTTTAGCACGAAAATGTCGGCTGGAACGAGGCAGGACCACGCTGTCACAGAATATCAGCATTAAGCAGCGGCTTAAGGCTGCTGTTTCGTATGGTCAGCGTAGTGAACCAGTGACCCTTCTTACAGGTGACCAGACATTCCATCTGAGTTCTCAGACGTGACAACGCATATTCATTTTTATCCCTAAACGACGACAAAAGTTCATGGGCCTCATCATCCACTTACCATCAGGTGGACTGTGTGCTTGCCAAACTTATTCTATACAAGAAAGTATGAATGTCATATGTATGTACATATATCTGGATATTCTCTATCACTTTGGCTGGGATTCATATAAATCAGATTTTACATATTGAGGGTCCACAACTAGCGTTGAGAATACGTCGTAAAATTTAAATGTAATTGATATTTTATTCATCGATATTTTTCCGCTCCCTGTGTCCCTTGGAGAGAACTGGTGAGTGGGGTTTATTTATATGTATTGTATTGTAAATTGACAAAATTAATGTCACGTCACCTTTGTAGCAGACTTCAATAAGATAAGTTTTTCAATTCGAGTTTTGAATGTAACTAATTAGATGACTAAGATGGTGATATTATTAGTAGAGACGTCTTTACTTAGTCGAATACTGCTGAAACTGAATAGAAGGCGAGGTACGTGGCGTGTTCGAAGTTTACCTGCACAAATCGTGAACCAATTGTAATTCTTTTGGTTACCAAATGTAATTCTATAGTTATTAAGTCCCAGAAAATATATAAGCTCTCTTCATTAATTAAACAAATAGCATTGCTGTTTCTAAAGCTAATTTTGTAAACAATTTATACAACCTTTAATATTGTATAATTTAATTTAAAAAATGTTGCGCTGAGTTTCTTGCTGGTTGATCCCGGGATAGAGGTTTTTTCAGGAACTAGTGATAAAAGTAAAAAAATACTTTCAACAAGAATTACATATTAACACATATTGAATAAAAATATTCTTTTCTATTATATAATATAACGTACTGTATTTAATTTAAAAAAGTTTCAGTTTAAAAAAGTTGAGACTCTTGCTGGTTCTTCCCAGGATAGAGGTTTTTTTCGGAACTTATGATAAGAGTGAAAAATTATTTTCGGTAAGAATTACTTGTGACATATATTGAAAAAAAATCCTTTCTATTCTATATATCGTACTGATTCCTCCATTCTGTGCAGTTAATTTTCGTAAATCCTATACCTTTAAACGAGCAATTCTTGTATATATATATATATATATATATATATATATATATATATATATATATATATATATATATATATATATATATATAATCGGAATCTCGGAAACTGCTCCAACGAGTTTCGGGGGCACTAAATCGATCCACCTAGGATTTATTTTTAGAAAATGTCTTTTTGTCCGTGTTTTTAAGCAATGAAAAACTGCTAAAATATCGTTAGTATAAGAAGGTAAATTTTTTAGCTTAATTGGTATATTGGGCGGTCACAAAATCGTAATACCATGGTTCGAGCCCAGACCGACCGACCGACTTTTTTTAATTTTTTTTTCATGTTCCTTTCTTTTTTTGAGAAAATCAATTATTTCGAGCCCTTTTTTAAGTATTTTTTTAAAAACACGAAAATTTCAATTAAACTAATTGCACTCATGATTTTTTATTCAAATAACCAGTTCAGTTTATTTAGGTACTTTCAATTAAAGCGCACTACATGCATTAGATTGATTTTAATCAAAATGAATTGGTTAAGTTCGGCGAGCAACGGTGAAGTTCTTTATTCATCATCGGTTCGTATTGATCCGTCTTATAGGGTTTGGCTTAACCGTCCCATAGGTAGGTGGGTTAACGACAGCAATGCAAAATGCATCCCGTAGTCGTAGCCGGTCTGTGTATTTCACGTCGTACATAACGTAATATTCCGTAGACAATAGCAAGCGCTCAGCAAGTAGGTTGGATCCAGGTTCAGCATCAAAATGATGCTCAAATCGAAAACTCACCCCTAGCAAACTGCCGCACTCAGAGACGTTTAATGATTACTTAAGCCGTCACTAAGTAAAGATTAAAAAAAGTTGACTCTCAGAGTGAGTTAATGATGACAGGTCAATTTGTGAGGTTATGTGTGAATGCGTAGTTGTTTTCAAGGATTTGTTTATTATAATCAAATTGTGATATTTTGTGAAAATGTCAGATTATGAAGAGTTTATTGATTTTGTGGACTATGCAAGATTTAGAAAAAGAGGACCTGGACGTTATTTGCGTGATTGTTCGGATGGATTTCAGAAGTATACTGTTCAAGAATTTTACTCACAATATCGGTTTACCCCTCACGCAATAAAAAATACCATTATGCCAATGTTAGAACCACATATAAAAAACCTAGCAACAAAGGACTGCCGTTTGCTCCAGAAACAATGATTCTCGTTACATTGAGATACTTTGCAAAACTGTGTGTATAACACAGTGTTTTATAAATTACCTCTTATAAATTATTGCTGCACAACCTGGTCACTATATCTGTACACATCACTGTATGTTTATAGCAAGGTGCACAGATACAGGATATACTCGTATGACTGAATTAAATAAATCGATCACTTACTTGCAGTAACTAGACGGAGACGTCATGAACGTATGCCAACAGTCAATATCAAGAATTATAACTACTGTGTCTAATTCAATAGCATTACAAATGAAAATGTTTGTAAAATTTCTATCTACAATGGAAGATATCAATCAAGTAAATTATGTTCATGATACAAACATATATATTCCAGTAATAAGGATATCCGGTTCTCTACACTCACCACACGAAACACATCAGCATTAAGCTGCTATTTTATGCTGGTATTCTGTGAGAGTGTGGTCTTTCCCTGGTCGAGCCAACCCATTCGTGCTACAACTATACTACTAATATAACTGCAGCATGGCTCTACAATAAAATAAAGATACAAACAAGGTTAAAATAAAACACAATTCAACTAATCACTGGTTTTATTTTGTAGTGTTATTTAAAATCTCCAATTCTAATGTAGCTTTTTCCAAAAGTATTTTATTTTTCTGTAATTCTAGGTCTGCAGCCTGTTTTTTTTATTTCTTGGGTAGCCAACTGTAAAAGAAAACAATATATATTAGTTTATAGTTAGTTATTGAAACTACATATTACAGCTATGTACAGGTATTTGGATGACTAATCTTTATTTAGGTTACATGTTCTGTTTCTAGGGGGACAGTAGATGAAATTAAAACCGCTGGGATCTGATAGTAATATGATATTTACTTGGCTGAGCTATAGGGATATATTTAAAGTCAACTATTTATTTATTTTCAACTAAAATTATACATTAAATATATGAATATATCTGCTAAAAAGAAAATAACCTATTAAATGAAATAAAACTAACAAACTAAAATAAAACCTGATGTGAGTTTGCTGTATGCTGGCTTAAAGGTAGCTAGTAAATTATTATAATGTATACCTTTGAATTTAATAATTTTTCCTCCAGTCGTTTTTTTTACTTCCAATTTTTTTAATCTTAGAACACCTACTCTTTTCACATAATCGGCAGTCTTTCGAGGAACACAATCAGTTTGGCTGAATAGAATGTTGTATTGATCATGAGTTGCTGATAAAAAAAATATGTGTTAAAACATGTAAAATACACACAAACAGTATTTTACACATTAACTATTGAAAAGAAGTTTTTTCTTTATATGTTACCTGTGTTATTTGTAACTTGAGTTGGCAGTTCAGTGGTGAGCATATTTTCAGACTCTGTAAGGTGATTTTTGTCTGGTTCATTGTCATCTGTAATAATCAAGTTATGTCACATTATACACTATTAAGTTAAGCATATAAGGATAATAGAACTGTAGTATGTTTATATGTTACCTGTGTTATTTGTAACTTGAGTTGGCAGTTCAGTGGTGAGCATATTTTCAGACTCTGTAAGGGGATTTTTGTCTGGTTCATTGTCATCTGTAATAATCAAGTTATGTCACATTATACACTATTAAGTTAAGCATATAAGGATAATAGAACTGTAGTATTGGAATCCTAGCACCTAGCTCTTTAGCTTTTTGGTAGATATTTTAAAGAGATCGTTTTAATTAAGAGAGAGAGTGTAGATGATTTGGGTCATATTTTTATAAATAAAATATAAAGTTATAATGTAACACACCTATTTTGTAATCACTGGATTTCACTTCCTCCTCTCCAAGTGAACTTAATAGGTATCCATCACTGTGATATGAATTTTTAACTTCACAAATTATAACAGGTGCTGCCTGAAAATAATAATAATGTAACAGAAAAGCTGCTAATGCTTTATTTTTATACAAAATTTAGAATTATACCTACTTCTTCTACCATGCTTATAATGGCTCCTTGGTGTGGTAGTGTAGATTCAGAAGGTCCCCCTCCAGTTTTAAATAAACTACCGTTCAGCTGCACGAGCTTTACGTGTAAAAGCCTTCATATTATCCCATGCCTTCTTTAATGCTATCACGCTGGAAGTAAATATTATTTTCATTTAGTAAGATACAAGAACATAACAAATAACAAACAACACATCTTAGTAATTTATAGGAACCAAGGATCCAGATAGCTTATAAAATGATTAAAGAAAGTGTAAGTTTATGTACCTTGTGAACATAAACTTGGCAATTAAACTTTTGCGTTATGGACTCCCATACAGCTTTCTTTTTTTCAACTGACCTGCCGTCAGTTGCTTTCGACTCCACAATTGGTTTACTCTTTATTAATGCTGCTAATAGGGCCTTTTCATCGCTGGTGAAATTAGGCACTCTAGAGCGTGGTGTTTTCGGCAATCCATCCTAAAAAGTAAACGCACTTTAATTTTATTACTTAATCTCGTCTGGTATAAAAAGCGCAATTTAGTGTACCTAGTTTAACTACTTACCATATTTTACTAGTCACTTGTTATCTATCCAACTTATAATATGTTGGATATGGTGCGCGGGTACCGTTGATATAAAAGATTGGGGTCACAGAATACACCACGAGAATCCTATACTACAACGAAACTCGAGAATCCTATACTACCACGAAATTAACAAAAAATGAACACGATACGAAACAAATAACAAAGCTCTGGTAAATGTTAGAATGTTTGTTTGATAATACCATTAACGTTTACTCCTGTCCTAACATCTGTTATCTAGTGTCACTTGCCACAGTAAAAAATAAATTTGTAATTTCAGTTATTATGGTGATGTGTACGGTTTGAAAATACTTTTTATATTTTATGTGCTAGAAAAAGCCACACTGAAGTGTTTAGTAATATGTATTAATACGTTTGCATAGAATAAAGACGGAAAACTATTATTTCCGTAAACCAATTTTTTTACATAGCAACCCTTACGATTTATCGACATCTATCGATGTTGCTTAGTACGACCACATGCATCCTTAAGTAACTGATTAGCTAATGAACCATTAAATTTAGTCTCTGGGACGCATCACTCATTAACGAAGATAATGGTAATTTGTTAAGTATTCATTAGGGCTAATTTAATGAAGCTCTCTGAGTACGGCAGAAAGTGAGGGTCACTATTTGGTTGTCTAACGCCAGTGTGAATCATCACAGCTTCCTACTAAACGTGATGAGCATTACTGCAGATGTGTACTGTGAAAAACTGAACACAATGATGGAGAAGCTCGCACATCTCTAACCAGCTTTGGTCAACCACTCGTCGTTGCTGCACCTACACGATAACGCGACCTCATACTGTACAACAGACGGTCTTCAAGTTACAAGAGTTAGGGTTGGAAGCTCTCCGTCATTCCACCGTATTCACCAGAACTTGCGCCTTCAGACTTCTACTTTTACCAGAATTTGAATAACTTTTTTGTGGGGAAGACATTCTACTATCCCAGAGGCAGTACAAAATGCCTTTGAAGAATTTGTTGCCTCCCGTCCAAGAAGGGCATCAGTAAACTGCTACTGCGTGTGCAGACACGATTCAATTGCATAGGCGATCATTTTGTTTTATTGAAATCAAAAATATATAAAAGAAAATTGTTAACTTATAAAGATCTAATATTAGAAATCTATTGTACAAAATGGCAGAACTACGCATTAATAATATAATAATAAACGTTTATTTCGGACATCATGATCCATATTATAGGTTAGTAACAATTTTTAGAGCTTATAACTAATGTTAGTAATTGACATCGAAACATAACACATAACATAAAACAAGGACAAACAGAAAAACCACACAAACAAATATGGCACCCGGCCCCGCCCGCAAGATGACTACTTGACTGCGTGCAGCCGTATCCATCGAGCAAGCATCGGCGAGTCCCAACGGTCTGCCAAAGCACACAAGATACTGTTGGGGCTGTCGTGAATGCGCCTAAGGTGTGAAGCGCAACGTTTACGCATTATGGCGGTGAAACCATCTACGTGAGCCTCCGCAAACATAGCAGAAGCGCTACAGAAACGCGGCAGCCCCATCAATACCCGGAACGCGTTATTGTATTATACGCGAAGATCACTGTATGCCCTCTGCGTTAAGTTAACCCACAGACTGCACGTATAAAATGACTGACAGTAAGCCTTGAAAAGCGTAATCTTTGCTTCGTCAGTACATTTAGCAAATCTGCGGGCCAACATATTACAGCGGACAGACAGCGACCTCCGCTCCCTCTCAATATCCTGGTTGTCTTTCAGGTCATCTGTGATCCAGTGGCCCAGATACTTAAAGGTCTCAACTTTTTTCAAAGGGGTTCCACAGATCTCATCTTATCCCACATGCGTTGGTAAGCTACTAAGTCAAACGCCTTTGATAGGTCCAGGTAGCAAACAAACACAGGTGTCTTCCTTGCTGTGTAATACTGGACAGTCTGCTTGAGACACAAGATAGCACTCTCGGTAGAAAGACCTGGTGGTGAGCATCATTGAGCGTGATGTGCTTATCCAGTAACCCGTTAAGCAAACTGTCCAGTACCTTAGCGATCACAGAAGCAAGGGAGATGGGCCTATAGTTGGACACATCAGAGGCGTCACCAGTCCTGTTTTTTGGAATAGGAATAACAATAGTTCGCATCAATTTGTCAGGGGAGATATGAATGCCCAATACACAAATTAAACAACAAGGACAAAACCCTTGGCAATTGAACTCCAGCATGCCGCAGGTGTTCAATGCTGAGGTGGTCATGCCCAGGCGACTTGCCTCTCACCATGCCCTTAATGACTAGCTACATCTTTGGCGGTAAAAAATACACTACGCTTCAGACTACCTGCCTCAGCATTAGACACCAGCGGCTCTGCCGGTCCCAGTGGTGATTCCACTCTAAAGTATTCTATGAACACCTTAGCAATATCACTAGGATCACAAGCTCCCGAAACACTCACGGGAAGGCTCAACTTATGATTTATTTTATTGGTGGCTTTCCAAAACTGACCGAAGTTCTCTCTTTTGTGGTGTTCAGCTATTATGTCCATTTTTATTTGTGTCTGATTATTTTGACACCATTTTAATTTAGCTTTAAAAATGCGTCTCGCATTGACACACTGGGTTATGCTGATGACCTTGTGATCATTGCGAGGGGTTTTGGCCAAAGTACTTTATCGTCAATAATACAAAGAGCCCAAAACACCATAAATAACTGGTGTAGGGACAACAGTTTATCAGTTATGCTGATAAATCTGTTATAATACCCTTTACCAAAAGAGACGGTTGGACAAATTAGTCCAACCAAAACTTATTGGTAAAGGAAGTATCATTTTCCACGGAAGTTAAGTACTTGGGCGTAACAATCAACCAAAAACTAACGTGAAACTCTCACCTTAGCCACGTATGCCATAAGGCAAAAATTGCTTTAGGTACGTGCAGTCGTTTGGTCGGTAACAACTGGGGCTTACGTCCCAGTATGGTCCTATGGCTGTACAGCAGCATAGTGAGGCCGATTCTTACCTACGCCTCTATTGTCTGGTATAACAAGGCCAACCAAAAGACGACTGCGGACAGACTAAATAGTCTACAAAGGACTGCCTGCTTAATGACAACTGGAGCTGTGCGATCATCGCCTGGAGCGGCTCTTAATGCACTTCTATGCCTAACGCCCCTTGATCACCCCTCGCTCCTTGATTAACGCCCAGGGCGGTCTGAGCTTGTTTCTCTTACAGATTGAGATCCATGCTGGACTCAATTAAGGAATCACCGGTCTTATGCATGATCTCAGATATCATGCGTCCACTACACACTTTTGATAAAAAGTATATAGTGGAATTACCCTCCAAAGAAGATTGGCTGAATGGCCAGGTTATCGGTGAGTTCGGTAGCCTCATATGGTATACCGATGGGTCTAAGATACTCATATAAAATACTAATAATGAACGCCCCAAATTCAAACTTAGCACAAATTTGGATAGATACAGCTCTATCTTCCAGGCAGAAATTTTCGCCATACTTCGTTGTGCGGAAATCAATCTGAAAAACACTACGTCAACCATATAATTTACATAACCTCTGAATTGAGAAAACACAAACTCTGAATTGAGAAACAACCGGACAAGGTAGATGGTGCAGTTGTCTAGATCCAGAAATCACTCGTGCGTAACTGTGGCATATCTATAGTATTAAATATAATCCTGTTCAATAATGTTAAAATATTTGGTGTTTTTGTAAATACTTCTTACAAAATATCGTATCCGATTTAAAGAAGAAAATATTAGACTGAACATGGTTTGTAAAGATCGTGTCCGGAATGTAAAAGGTGTCAGTGAATTACTTAATTGATTCAACTTCATAAAGAAAAGAAAAGCTGAGAAATTCAAATATAAAAGGCGAATTTAGCGGCGGTACTCCGGAATATCATCAATTTATTCTTTCCCCTGCTGAGAAGACTAAGGAATATCACAATCCTAATATAGTTTAAATGGTTATATTCTATCAGGAGTGCGGGATTTGCTGTGTACCGGCCTCAAGGATATAGAGAAGCAGAATAATTACAAGTTGTAAAGCATTCCTTCTAAATGTAATACGTAGTAAAACCACGCTGCAGCTATATTATGGTTGTAGCACGAATGGGTCGACTCGACCAGGGAAGGACCACGTTCTCACAGAATACCGGCGTAAAATAGCAGATTTAAGTATGGCTCACGCTAGACCAAGTCGGGTCCGAGCCGAGTGTTGGCCGTAGCACGGTCACTGAGCCGATCCCGTGCCCGTAATTATATAGATGGACCTCGAACGAGCAATTACCGATATGCCATGACGCAGTATACTCGTCCGAGCAAATATAGTGTTGTAACTAGACTACAATCATGTTGAATTTTGACGATCTGGAATTAGTGGCTACTGCGATCGCTCTGGACGATGAAGAATCTGATAAATCTT